AAGTATATCGTCGTGGGACATCCTCGAGTTTAGGTACCTAAGTTTACGTACAAACATGAATTCGAATTCTATTAATTTTGGATTAGTTGACGATTTGAAATAAAAAGAATATTGTTACGTCTAAACATAAACAAATATATAAATTATTAAAAAGGTGTCCCTAAAACATCTGTAGCATTATTGAAAGACGGTATCTGTGAACTTATGATACTCTATAATAATTGCAAATAATTATTCTTTTCATTTTGTGAAAAAAAAAACCTTCATAGTTCTATATTTCATTGGCAATTCATACTTAAGAGTCATAAGTTATGATTATTGGGAAAAAATTTCATGTATTATCATTTCATGTGTTTGTGTGTGTGTGTGTGTGTGTGTATGCCACAATTGTTTTCACATTTTCAGTCTTTGTTCTACATTTAAGTTATTAAAACAATATTATAAATTATAAGTATGATATATTTAAATATATAGATTAAATATGGTTGCAAGTATTTTTTATGAGCCCAAAAAGTAAGTATCTACATTATATTATAGGTAATGCGTATGTAAAGATGTACTAAGGTCTAAGAGTAAATAATTTAAAATTTAATTAAAAAGTGAAGTGTGCGGTGGTATAATGAATGTCATCAAAATTTCAATCTACTTTTTTACTCATATATATTTTTAAAACGTATAAATAATATGCAAATGCAATATTCGGTGATAATGCAAGTATGATTACAAATATTTTGTTCTAGAGTTCAAAAATTAAAAAGAAAATATTTTGAAAAACAGACAGGCTCGATATTTATTTTTTACCTGTCAAAAATATCAGATTATAAAATTGTATCATTTGTATCGACATAATAATACATCCTTTAGTATAGAATAAAGTTCAGTACCAATTTATACTGCACAGAATTCCAAGTAAGTTTGTGCTTGTTCGGCGGCATCTCTTGAAAACGATAATGTATACAAATACGCAAAATCGTATATGCTATATTATGAAATAACCAAGCATGTTTTTAAAGGTATTCGGTAAAATTTTAATAATATGTTATTGTTTTTCGTGTTTTTTTTATGACTATTTCTCCGTCATCATTGTTTCGTTGTTTTTTAACTGATATGTACCCTAATGAATCTCCCGTAAAGTTTTGTTGATACAGTTCAACAGCGGCAGCATACACACCACCCACGGCGATGGTGGCTGTTTATAACTGTGTAATTAACCCAAACGTTTAGCGGTTTTAGTAGTAAAGGGAGCGGGAAATCGTGATAAGTGGAACAGGAATGGATAAAAAGAAAGAGAGAAACAAGATAGAAAAGGGAAAAGTTACGTGGGCAGTAGTGAGAGTAAATTATTGAGTGAGTGAGAGAGAAAGATATACAGTGAGATAGAGAAAAAGGGAGAGGAAGAGAAAAAGTGTGCTAGAGTAAGAGAGAGAGAGAGAGAGATCTAATTGAAGGGCTCAATAACACGACCACGTAATTAAGCGAGTGCGCTCGAGTTTTTCCCGGACAAACAAAACGTTTTTACCGCTGCACCACCGATAATACCTATCCACCGTTTTAACTGTTCGCCCGCACGCTCTTCTCCAACTCTTGACGAACTTGAGGAGTGAGGTAGATCTACAGAGATTGAACGGCAGAGATTGTTTTTCATTTTTTTAATCGTTAATAACACATTTTTTTCGCTACCAATTACACAGTCGCATTATATTTTATACTTTTCTGTTTGACGAATATAAATTATAAATGTATTTGGGTATCAAAACAATAATATTTCAGTATTCATTTTTATCTGTGTGCCTTTGTTGTCTACGTCATGATAAATAATAATAAATATACAGATAATCGAGAGTAGAATAGTTTAACATATGTTAATATTTATTTATTATATATCGATCGATTTTTTTTATTCAATTCTCTATGACATATATGATATATATATATATATGTTACATACAAAGTCCGAAATTGTACATTTTGCAATTTGTATAGTGATTTTTGTACACATTGCGAAGTATACAATGTTGCTGTACAAAGTAACTAGATTGTACAAGTTACGTTATACAATTCGCGATGTGTACAATAATCAATGAACAAATTCCAAAGTGTACAATTGTTGTACAAATCATAAAATTTAAAACATATTCTAAAAATTACAATATAATAACTGTTATGTTTTAAAAGTATTTTCTTAATAAATATTACATATTATTAATTATTTTTGTGATTTGTCCAATGATTGTAGTATATTAATATGTAAAAACCTGGTATATATATTTTTATATGGTAACTAATAAGTAATAATATGTAATATTTATTGAGAAAATACTTTTAAAACATAACAGTTATTATATTGTAATTTTTAGAATAAGTTTTTAAATTGTATGATTTGTACAACAATTGTACACTACAGAATTTGTTCAGTGATTATTGTACACATCGCGAATTGTATAACGTAACTTTTACAATCTAGTTACTTTGTACAGCAACATTGTATACTTCGCAATGTGTACAAAAATCACTGTACAAATTGCGAAATGTACAATTTCGGACTTTGTATGTAACATATATATATATATATATATAAGAAAACATTATATACAGTGTCAATTTACTATAATACTACGCGTTATCACTTTATAAAAAGGTATTCTTTAGTCTTACAAAATATGAGCTTACATGACGAATAGTTTCACTTTAATTCAATAGCGTACATTTGGTATAACGTAAAAAAAATATGAAAACTAATAGCACTTGGCAAACTGTGTGCGGAGATTCGCTTTACAAACGTTTTTTTTCTATTATAAACCTATAGGAACACGACAAATGTCCGTGTGATGGTCCCTCTTTGTTTTTCCATAATTGATGCCTCTGTTTGAAATACAATTTATACAACGTATTTCTTTTTTACTTTGATCTTACATCTATTTGCTTCAAGGTTATACTGTTTTGTATACAATAATACTGCTAAACAAGTATGACCAAGCAAAACTTTGTGCCCGAATAATTTGTGTAGAAATCTTAATGTGTTTAGAATGAGCTTTTGGTTTGCGATTATTGTTAAGGAAAAACGAACAATTATTCCCCTGATTTGAAACAAAATTATTTCCAATATTAAACATAATTTATGCTGCAGTCCTAAACCATATTTATATTTGTGATTTAAAATGGACTATGATATAGTATACAACAGTAGAGCCTTGATTGTCCAGATGAATTCAGACCGAGTATTGTCCGGATTACCGGAGAGTTTTCAAAATTACCAACTAAAATGACTAAGATATTTATTTTTAATTCCGCCATCTTTATATTTATTGCACATTAAATTACAAAAATAATAAATTACTTAAACATAACAAAAAAAAAAAAAAAAATAATAAAATGTACATCAAAATAGAATTTAAATACAGTAGTCAGTATTTTTTCTGAATTATACTTTTAATTCCAAACTAACTAAAAATGTATTTACAAACAAATAGACATATGCCGTCCGAATTACCGCATTTACTGGATTATCGAGGGTCATCCAGACTATCGAGGCTGTACTGTATTTTTTAAGTTCTAAGAAAATCAATTGAAAATACATTTTATAACCATGTATTTTATTTTACTTACATAAGTAAATTAATTTATCATTTTACCATAGCCTAATAAACAATATAGCTGATGAGTATTCTTAAATTGCTTTTTTTTTTTATAAATGTTTTATGGGGTAAACTATAAATTATTTTTAATTGTTTTTATTTGTCATGTATATAAAAAAGACATAATAATAATAATATTGCCATAGACATTGTAATTGATGAAATTATCATTTTAATTAAAATATGAAGGATGTTTATGGTAATAAATAATTTTATATTTTACAAAAACAAATTATACCTATTACTAAAAAAATATTTTTACACACAAAGTTGTTTATATTATTTGGAGAAAAATACCACAAATTTTAAAAATAAAAAAGTTTATTATTGTCATATAATAATACAATTATTATAAAATAACTAATTTTTTTTCAAAATAAAATAGTGTTTATAGTTAATATGTTATTATTTTTAAAATTTTATTTCAATAATTGAATTTTCTATTATTACATGCAATCTACTTATTAACATGAATATCGATGCCATAAAGCCTTTCGCTTGTAAATTTAAAATTATAATCCAATTCGATTTAACTGACAGTACCTATATTGGTTATTTGTGAAGCTTTTAATATTTAATTTTGATTTATTTATCAATTATCGATATAATATAATTCAATTATAAATTAAAATGTAATACATTTATTACAGTTTTAATTTCCCGTAGTAAGTATCGAAGATAATAAATATTTAAAATAATATTTTAAGACGTAGATAGTGTCGAACAATATTTGTGTTAAAGAGTTATTTTGATAATAATATAATTTGTATGGTTAGTCTCGAAAACTGAACTTTATATTGTGTTAACCTGCTAAAAGCAAATTTAATTCAATTTTAATATTACTATACGTATTTGTGCGTAATTAATTTTAAATAACGAAATTTTCATGGTGCCGACCACTGCTGATATCACATTGTTTATTTATTAAACACAGTTCAGTGAGATTATTTTTATTCGTAAATCAAATGGCTTTTTTTAATACTCACATAGCTAGTGCAGTGAATACAATATACAGGACGTCGAATTATTAAAAATTAACACCGTCGATAAAAAATCCAACAAAATCATGAACATACACCTAAAGTCTGTCGACATAAACATAGTACGAATATATAAGTGGCCACTCGACGCGTTAGGGTAAAGCCACGTGGAATATCGATTAGCACAAATAAAAACCTTTCTATTATTGTTATTATTTGCGTTTCACCACTATAATTTAATATAATAATATAGTAAAATATTTAGAACCATATCGCATTTCACACAACATAAAATACGGCATTCTGTTAAACATTTACTTAAAAACAACTTACTACACCATATTAAATTGTGCGTTAAGAAATTGTATAATAGATAGGTACTCACAGTATTTTACTATATGCTGGGCATTCAGTTTGTTCAACAATGGACTTGAAAGCCGAATAAATCACATCATTCTGAAACAAATAGCGATAAAAAATTATTATTCAATGACAAAAATATATTGTAAGTCCGCACTTGAATAAAATGACAAAAAACAGTGATGAAACGATGACAACAACGAGGTATAGCTACGCCGGTAAACCTCGGTGGGTCACAATTTATTTAATTAATCCGTTGAAAGCGGTTTCTCTAATAGCACTCCATTTAGCTTTTAAATGGATCCGTAGGGGTATAAAAATTAAATAACGGTTATGTCTATGACAGATTATTATTATTATTATTATTATTATTATTATTATTATTATTATTTTCATTATTAATATCTCGTTATTCCAATAAATAAAGTATACTCATCAAATATGATGGTCATACGGTAATTCAATAAGAAATCACTGTAAAACAAGAAAAAAAAAAATGTATTAATCAAATCATTAAAAATTAAGCAAAACTACAAAATATACTATACCTAAACCTATACGTTATTGCGCTGTATTATTTTCATGCTTGTATTTTGTGGAGCTAGACTTGAAAATATAATAGGAACCTATAGGTTATAATACTCGTTGTTCAACATTTTATGATCAAACATTTCCATTATATTATACATTATACACACTATTGTTGTATTGTATAAACTATAATATATACATATATAAAACTCCTCAAAAGAGAGTATTTCTCTCGAATTTAACGCAAAAGGTTCCTTAGAACTCGATTGGTAGTTTATTGAAACTACCAAAGGTTTTTGGATATAATATGTCGAGAGTGTACGTAATTTCGAACAATAGCAAGGCGTTTGCAAATTCAACCCAACATCAATTGGCTGACCCTCTTGGGACTGTTTTTACTATGCAACACCCCCCAAAGTAACAAATTTGGAGAACATTTGTAACGATTGAAAGGCGCAACGAACAATTTTTTTTTTTATTTTTTTTTTTTACAATAATAAATCATTCATTCTCTTTCAACGATTACCCTTTGAATGGCCCAGTTCTGTAGGGTGTAGCTAATGAAATATCGTAAAATTGTAATCCATCTTTTATTCATTTTCACAAATGTGAAATGAAGCTATAACATCATATTGATTTATTGATATAAACATGTATATAATTATAATGTATATAGAATTATTCATCAGCAAGTATAAATAAAATCTATTTTTTTTTTTTTTTTTTAATTTCATTTATAATAATTCTAGATCTATCAACAGATCTGAAAATAATAAGGAATATGATAAGGAAAATAAATCCAGGCATGTGGCCAAGTCGTTAATTATAGAGTAGTGCTAATTTTAAATTAAATTATATAAAAAATAAATTACTGAATAAAGGTGTGCAGATTCATTTTCAACATATACTTGTTATTACTTTTATTTTATTAAAAATTAATTGAATTATTTATCATTTACAAACCTATTTACAATAATAACACTATTTAATAGACAATATCAATAGTAATGTATGGAAATGTTGCATTATTTTCTCGTTATTTAAGTCTCGCTAAAAATAACCGAAAACACGATCACGACACTACTTGAGTATTCGATAATAAAGATAACCAATATTTCATTAGTCACGGACTGTTCATAGGCGAATTGGTTAGCGATGATTTAGTCTCGCGTGTGTATCTCTGATCTTTAACGGTTATATTTATTAAAATATTAACATTGATATTATCGTCAATCATTATTCAGTGTTTAGCTTATTATTGTAAGCTAATAACCTTGTATTTGATGCTGTAACAATAAAAAAATAAATAAAAATATTCTGTGTTTATTACTTCTTAAAATTCATGGATACTAATACATATCTTTAAACTAAAAAATTAATTTAATTTATATATATTTTTTTTTAATTAATGGAATATTCAAAAAAAAAAATTATAAGGTTGTAGTTTCTTAACATAATATGTACAACATATTAAACATTTCTTTCATTACTTATGACATCGCCTCAGACGAAATTTTATTGAACTGAAACTAATAAAATTATATTTAAGTTCGAGATTAAAATAAATGACCTGTCGATCATATCCATTAAACACGAAGATGCTAAAACCATAAATTATAAGACATTTTAAATAGGTACAAAATATTCTTATTCTAATTAACTTTATATTTATTTATTTATTTATTTATAAAAGTACTATTCAATTTGGACATATGTATAAGTTTTATAAATCACTTTTATTTTGTTAACCAATAATAGTATCCAATAAAATGTTGAAAAGTCCATAGAAGCATTGTTGGAAGTTTATCATAAGGTTCTGACCTTAAGTATTATTTATTGTAATACAAACCACGAAGTTGATATATTAAGTTTCAAAAATAGTTAAAAAATTAGGTTCAAAAATATTCAATAAGTCCTTGTGCATGATATGGAATAGTTTTTGTTAAATATCACTACACATGATGTATCAAATTTATATAAGTACTCGAATAAAATTGTACCTATGTATTTTCAATATTTTCAAGCCATTGAATAAAAAAAAATGTATAAGAAAACTTATACTGAATTTTATATTTTTAAATCTAAAAAAAACGTTATTATTATTTTTTTTAATTTTAAACAAAAAATAAGTACACTTATGAAAATGAGCTAACATCAAAATTGGTCATATAAAATTAGTAGTGGTAAAATCGGTCGTCTGAAATTGGTCGTCTGGAAAATTAATTATCATAAATTTTCGTGAATTGAAACGAGTAAAGAAAAATCCAAAATTTTCAATTACAATTTGGAATTTATATGCTAATGAATATAACGTTCCAAAAAACAACAATTTGGTAGAGGGATGTCATAATGGATTTTCATCTATATTAAATTCTATTCACCCAAATATTTGGAAATTTATTAGAATCCAGCAAAAAGCAAAAAATTTAAACTGTCTGAAAATGGTTCATTATCGTACTGGAGCAAAAACCCTTAAAAAAGGGAGAAATATAATAACACCGCTGAGAAAATAAATAAAATATGCTAAACATTTGATAGTAGAACATTTGATGAATATTTATCAGCGATAGCTCATAACTTATAATTAATTTTTCATAATATTTATAACTTTTAACATGTGTGTTGATTTTAAGATGCCAATTTTAACACAATCAATCTATTACGTCTGTACGTTATGTTTGTACTCAATAAAAATGTCCCATAATCCATTTCCTATAATATTATAAATAGACTATTAAAAATAGATATTGAAAGAACTTAGAGATAACCTACTTTGTACAATAAAATTAAAACCTCATAATTAGATGATTTTAAATGTATAATATAAGATACGTGTATAAATTTAAAGAGTGTTTAGAAAATTAAATTCAAAACTGAGCTCGTTCACGTTCACAATTATTGTATCTTTTTTTAAACTCCATTCACGTTCGTTGAACGTCATAGACACATCCACTGGGAAATCATTTTTTTTTTTTTTTAATATTATTAGATTCTAGTATAAACCTATTACTGCTCAATAATTAATATGATTTTGTCAAAATATTAACATATACATTTTGAAATTATTGCATAATTTAACCGTTAGGCTGTATAGTGTATAATATTATATATAACTGAGAAAGAAAAAAATATAATAATACAGATAATGTTATTTTAGTTATGACGAGTTCAGTAAGTAACTTAAATATTGGTAATTGGATTTAGATAATAATTATGGGGAATTCGTTGTGTGTTCATTTATAAGGACGATGAAAAAAAAAAAAAGAGGATTTAATAAATATCTTATTTTGATCAGGAAACTAGAAATTTTTTTGGAAATACTGTTTGTAGGTTGAGTTACAGTTATGTTGCACACAATAAGCTCGAATTGGATTTGGTGACGTGACGATTAGTGCGAGGCTTTTGTTTTTAATTTTCTGCTTTGCTTATTTTTTTTATTTTATTACTTTTCAATCAATTTTTTGCGAAATTGGAGGCTGTAAGATCATAAGAGCATAAAGCACGTTTAGCTAGAGACTACGATTTTTAGTGCTGTGCACAATTTGATGATCTTCGCTACATTTTACGCACCTTGGTAGGTAAATTTGATCATATGCTTGGAAATTATGGCGATAAGGTGGATCACTAAAACTAATGTGTGGTTTTTGATAATCATAATGAAATTGAGTAGATTAAAGATATTTAAAATTTCTTGATTATTATCATCAAATACAGTTAGACGTGAAAAAATGGTAGCAGCCGTTGGCTTTTTTTAATATTAACCACACGTAAAATTGAGTATCCTAGCTCCACCAAAGCATTTTATATATCAAATAAAATTGTTAAATGGTGAAGTGTATCTATTATGACATTGTATCGGCATGTGTAGTAAGGAAAAAAAGTATGTTGACAAAACAGTAAAATAAATTGGATTGGATGATTTGATTTTTTTCCCCATATTTAGGAGAACTGAAATGCGAAAAAAATGCTGTTTTAAATTTGTTTCAGAAGGTGATTGAAACGATAACATAATATATATGCTCTAAACACAAAATTATATACTTATTATATGTTGCATAATAACGAAATGAAATACGATCACTATAGAAGAAATGAACGTTATAGAGTGTGATACACACATGTATCCGCTACGGTAGCAAAATCCATACTGAAAATAATTTAATCATTAACTACAGAAATACATTTTTTCTGTTTTTAATATTTTGAAAATATAAATTATACAGAAAAAAAAATAAAACAAAATACTTAAGTAAATATTCTAAATAATTCAAACTTTACTTGAAACAAAAATGATTAACACTTTAAAATTTAAATTGTATTAAATTAATAGTATCATACCTACCTATAGATATTTTTAAAACTTTTCTAAAAATTTTAAAATCGGGTGAAATCATAATATATAGTATAAATATATATTATACACTGAATAAACATTAATGTATTAACTATTAGTGGTTAAACCAGAACACAGCTAATACATTATGGAATTTGACAATAATATTGCAATTAAATGGAATTCCTAACTTATAATTAAAAATAGTTACTTATCTTCTACTTTTTTAATT